TCCTTGGTCTGTCTCAGTGTGAAAGGCACAACCCCCTCCCTGGTAGTTCCCCCTTTGCAAATGCAGGGTCCATGGCCTCACTGTCAGGTAGGCTCCTGTGGCTTCACCTTTACCAGCCTCCCATTATCCCCCTGGCATGCACAGCACTCACATCACAGCATCCACACGCATACGTCACAGGCAGGTGGGCTCTCTAGGAAATTACCATGAACAAGATGGAGGCGAAGTTCATCAAGTAACCCGGGAAACGGTCTTTCCAGGTCAGTTTATCTTCATCATCCTGCAGAGAAACAGGGAAGTAGAAACAATCAGAGGGCACTCGTAACAGATATTAATTTGCTCTTGATTTTCATAAATTTACATGTCAGTCTATACAGATATTTTTCTAGTCAATGATCCCTTACCCTCCATATCAAGAGTCACTCTCCCAATTTTGTAATTTCTAGATGAGCTGGTATAGCCTGAGAAAACTACAGTGAAAAGAGGACAAGATTTTATTTCAGCCTCATATGGGGCTGAAGTTCTAGTTCAACCATGTATCAGCTATGTGATCTTGGACATACATCTTAACATCTCTGACTCTATTTCTTCTGCTATGAATTGGGCACAGTAGTGACACTGTGCTGCCTACTGCATAAAGTGGCTTTGTTTGATCCATTTAATGAGAAACACGTCAACACGTGGACAAATAACAGCTACGACCCAACTGCCAAGGGACAGCATTCTATAGACAGATCATCCTTTAAGTGAAATATAAACCACTGAACTTAGATCCTAATACCTTTACAAATTACCATAATTTTTGTTCTTTAAAGAACCTGTATGTGGTATCATTTATTTCCTCCAAAATGACTGTGTGCTCCCCCACCCCAGTCACAAGTATGGACATTTTGAGGCACATTTTGGTCCATTCAATCAATTTAGCTGAGAACTCTACCTTTCCTCCCTCAGAGTTGAGTCCAGTCTGCCCCGTCACTCTCCTGGGACAAGTGCATCAGTGATAGCCCTCCTGCACATTAGGCACATTGGCACATTCCAAGAAGAGGGTACCGGCAGGTGTAAATGGTAAAAAAAACTCTGTTAACTAATTGCTGTACACTTTCAGTACACAAACATGATTTCTCTGAGCTGCTGTTCTATAAAATAAGATTGATACAGCAGTTCTGCCTACTATACAAGGTTCTTGGGAAAATCATCTAAAGAACCATCTTTATGAAGGTGCCAAGGCAATGGCAAAGCACACTGTGCTGGTGAAGTAGGAGTCCCCTGCTCTTCTGCAGAGAATCTGAGTCAAACTCAGCAAGTGAGCGCTCCAGGACCCCTGCTTTATCTTCGCTCCCCTTCTCACCACTGGTATTTCAGTATATACTTGATTTGGCTCTAGCAACAGTGCCATCTAGCCTTTGAAAGCTTGTACTGTAAGCAAAGGATCTCTTTGGTCTAAATGAATAAAATCTTTTGTGCATCCCCTGTGTGTTAACCTTGGTGCCAGGCACAGTGGGAAGACAGAAGAAAGTTGATACGATCACTACCCCAAGGCTCTCACAGGTCAATGGAACACTCACGCACCCAAAGATTTAAAAGTCATTGCTAGTTTGGGAGGGAGGGTTACCTTGGGAGTGAGCCCCTGGGGAACTGAGGAGAGGAGCAATTCTCACTGCACATTCAGAACTGAGCACAGACTTGAGCTGGCTTAATAAATGGTGGTAGAAAGGAGTGTTACATCTCATGTCACCTTAAGACTTAGCACTTTCATTTGTGATGATGTAAATAAGTGATATGCTCAGGTTTGCATAGACTTAGTGACACGGTCAAGTTTCTGGACTCCTAGTCCAACAAACTTTTGATTATGCAATGAGAACAACTAAGTCAGGTTATGACTGTTCTGAAAAGAAGTATCAACCTCTTTTTTATTTTTTTTTGGCCAGGGCCAAGTTTGAACCTGCCACCTCTGGTATATGGGGCCGGAGCCCTACTCCTTTGAGCCACAGGCACTGCCCACAACCTCTTTCTAATGGGATTGGCACAAGGCTCCTTCATATTTCTCTCAGTTAGGCCAAACATCCAGAGGGCTTAGAAGTTCTTTCATTTTCCTTCAGGATTCATTCTCAGTTTCACTCATATGCCACTGTTTTCCTTTAGGATATCTTTAAAGTATTTTTCTTTAAGACGTGGGACAAGGAAAATTGAGGATGAGCTGGTGGATGACAAAAGTCAGTTGGGATTCTGAAGCGAAATAAAGGGGAATGGAGGACCTCTTCCAGGGCCCCCCCAATGATAATAGAGGTTCTGATGACCAAGTCTTGTTTCAGTTGAACTCAACAAAGCCGAGCTAGATGCTGAGAACACAGTGAGGAAGTGGCTCAGCCTTGCCCAGCAGGAGCTCAGAGACCACAGAGGAAACGAGGAAAGGGATTTCAGAGCCAAATCTGACTAGGAAAGCGGCATTACTCTTGCCTAAAAATGAGACATAACTAAAAAGCAACTGACTTGGATGCCCTCTCAAAGCAACTATCTTAAAGAAAAACACTCAATGTAGATATTCAAGCGTTTGTTGAAAAATCATCCATTCTCATTTTACAATGATGAGCTCTTTTTTTCTTGGAAGTTGTAGCTTTCATCACACACATACACCCCCACAGCTCTCATACACTCAGACACTGTGTGAACACAAGAAGCTGAGGGAAACACAAAGATTTGAGACAGTCATCCAGGCTCCCTGAGTCACTAGCGAGGACAGCAGTCAGTGCGCCAGTCTTTATTTATAATACTTTGGCTCTACTAATGGAAGCCTATTTGAACTCTCTACTCACTGGGACATTAAATATGTGAAGATTTGTAGCAAAATACCACTAACTTAATTACATTCTGCATAAAAGTCACATAACCTGCATATGAAACAGTAGAAAGAGAAGTTGACTTGAAACCAGAACCCCCCAGTCTGAACTGCTGGCTCTCTGAACTGGGATTCCCAGCACCTCAGTTTCCTTATCTGTAAAATAGTTATACCTATCCATCAGCCAACCTATGAAGAGGGCCAGGAGAGTTCAGTTATACTGAGATAAGCGAGAACTCTAAGCACGTCCCGCTTCCTTTAAAAATGAATATGACAACACCTGTCCCACGTAGGTGGATGAGGTAATGTCACCCACATTAACTAATGTCATCCTTGTTAAGATGTGAGACTCACTGTTGTCTGTGTTTGTTTTTTTGTCTCTGTTCTCTGTGTCTGTCCCTGGACTGTGGCTTCCAAGCCTGAGTCTGCAAACGGCAAGTGGCATAGTGACATTCACATAAAACCATGCAACTGCCCTTTTGGCAAGCTGAACATTTGGAAGTGAAATCACAGAAAAGGCAGTAGTTGAGAATACTACTTAAACAAACTGATGGAGAGTAATTTTGAAAAGTGGCAATCATCCTTGAGTTGGTTAGTTTTCTATTTTTAATTAAGGTATAATTTACATGTAGGAAAATTTATCTTTATTAGTGTACAGTTCTATGAGTTATGATAAACATACACAATCACATAACCACAACCACAATCAAGATGCTGATTTCCCACAATCACTTTCCAATATCCCCCCATGTCCCTTTGGAGTCTATTTCCTCCCCCAATTCTCGGAACCTGGAAAGATCTGTTTCAGGTCCCTCTGGTTCTCTTTTCCAGCGTGCGGTGTAAGTGTGTTCATATGGCAAGCAGGCTTTTGAGTCTGACTTCTTCAACCTAGTGCTGTGCGTGTGGAGTTCACGCATTTGGTTGTAATCCCAGTAGTTTGCTCCTTTTTCCTGCTGAGTGGTATCTCATTGCCTGGCTGTCCCACAATTTATTTAACTATTCACTAGTTGAGAGGTGTTTGGATTGTTTCCAGTTTCTGACAATTGTGAATAAAGCCATTATAAGTATGTGTGCACCAGTTTTGGTATGAACACAGGTTTTTATTTTGCTTAAAAAAAAAAATACCATGTAGTGGAATTGCTGGGTCACAGGGTAAATATATGTTTGAGTTTATAAGAAACCACCAGCCTGTTTGCCAAAGCAGCTGTACTATTTTGCCATTTCCATCAATATTTTTCTTTAAATAAATTTTTATCTTAAAAAAGTTTAGGGCTCGGCACCTGTGGCTCAAGTGGCTAACGCCAGCCACATACACCTGAGCTGGCGGGTTCGAATTCAGCCCAGGCCCACCAAACAACAATGACGGCTACAATCAAAAAAATAGCCAGGCGTTGTGGCAGGTGCCTGTAGTCCCAGCTACTTGGGAGGCTGAGGCAGGAGAATTGCTTGAGCCCAGGAGTTGGAGGTTGCTGTGAGCTGTGATGCCATGGCACTCTACCCGGGGCAACAGCTTGAGGCTCTGTCTCAAAAAAGGTAAAATAAAAAATAAAACAGTTCAGGATTACAGAAGAAAGCTTCAGAGATAATTCAGAGAGTCCCTCTGTACTCTACTCCTGGTTTCCCCTGCTGTATTGGTATAGTACCTTGTTCACAACCAACTACCCAACATTGCACATTATTATGGAGTAAGGTTCATACTTCATTTATATTTCTTAGTTGTTACCTAATGTCCATTTCCTGTTCTAGGCCCCCTCCAAGATGTCATATGCTATTTACTCATCCTGTCCCCTCAGCCTCCTCCCGACTGTGATAGTTTCTCAAACTCTTCTTGTTAGTGATGATCCTGGCGGTTGTGAGGGGTACCGGTCAAGTATTTGCAGAACATCTCTCAATATGGGACTGTTAGAAGTTTTCCTCATGATTAGACAGAGTTATGGGTTTGGGGGTGGGGGAAGGCCACAGAAGTAAAGGGACAGCTTCATCATATCATATTAAGGGCACGGGCTATGACCTAGCACTGATGACATTAGCGTTGATCACCTTGTAGAGGTGATATTTTTCAGATTTCTTCATTATAAAGTTTCTCTTTTTCTCCTTTCTATACCATACTCTTTAGAAGGAAGCCATAGGACCACAGGCTGGTCAGAGGACCATGTCCTGTCTGCTGGACTTGCTTTTCAGCCACATTTAAAGGGCAGGAAGCGAGTGGAAGCATATACATATTCCCCTAGGTTTTTAATCTAGACTTTTACAATCTGAGTTTAATTAAAGCAGGGCTGTAGAGATGTTCCATCATACCAAGGGTAAGCCAGTGCAGATTACTCCAAATTCTAAAAAAAAATATGAAGATGATAAATGCTAGTGATTAATCAGTAAGCACTGCGCCTGGGTGGAAGTGTGTTTGGGCTTCAGAGGGAGCAGGCTAGGGTCCTCGGTCTCCAGGG